TGCTTTAGCACTGAGGCAAGCCCGCAGAGACCGACAACTTGTGAGCAAAAGGCTCCTAAATGAGGATGAGGAGCAGCCAGAGGTCACTATGCAAACAACGGGTGAACAGGTTAGTGTAATTATTTTGATGGGTAATTTTATGTTGAGTTTTGGTCAAATTAAAGCTTTACCTAAACTGTCTATATCCTGTTTCCTTCAGGACGTGGTCAGTTTGTTTCACAAACTTCAACACAACAGATCAGAGAAGGAGTCTCACCTGAGAGCTCTAAGTAAAGCTTTGCGGGACCCATCGGCACAACTCGCCTTCATTAAGTATGGCTGTGACTTCTGCCGCAATATCAAAGGGGTTAGATGATGTTTGTCTCATTTTTCTAACCAGTCTTTGTGTGTGAACCTGTCCTGACAGGCTGGAGAACTGCGTGCATCTGCTGGTCGGTCTTCTCACCGGTTCTGATGCTCAGTGTCGTCTGCAGGCCGCTCGGTGTCTTCACGAACTGTCTCACTCTCCACACACCGGCGTGGCCTCAGCTTGTCTGCCTGCCACTCCCTACCTGCTAACCTACCTGTCCAGTCAGAGCACCAAATTCACAGTGGGTACTCATTCAGACCAAGCAGTTTGTATTTAGTATTAACACCTAATCATGTGGGACAACTTTTTGAACATTTCCTCTGTGAGCAGGAGCTGTGTCTCTATACGCTGGGAAATCTATGTCCAGACAATGAGGTTGTAAAAGAGAAACTCCTTGCTCAGGGAATCATCCCAGCGCTGGCCAGTTGTTTGGAGGTACGCTGAAATGTTGATGTTTCACAGTTCATGCTAGAGTCGTTGAAACGACATATCAGCAACTTTTGATGCCTGGTAACAAAGTGCTTGTCAAGTTGAGTAGTTCGTTCAGCTTAAGTTAAAGCGCTGTTTTTATTTGTTTGTGCAGAACCAAAAACATAACCTTGCAGTGGTTGAGGCGGTGGGCTTCACGCTCTCACAGCTTCTTCAAACTAACCGTGCAGCAGACAAAATGATCTCGTAAGTATGCTTGTCTGTTCAGTTTCTTCATCAGTGTCTCTTAGACTTAGACTGTCTTTACTTGTAAAGTTCTCTGTGTGTCCAGGATGATCATGGCCTCCACTTTACCCTCACATTTATTATCAGTTCTGASCCCTGACCCAGACTTTGGAATGGCTCCTGCTATTGAGTGTGCTTGGTGTCTGCACTACCTCACCTGCAGGTAAAATTTATACAGCAATATCAAGGGTAGTTTGATGCTTAGTTGTGATTATTTCTACTTATTTAAGTAACTTATCACGTGATAATCCAACACAGCACAGAGGATCACAGAGTTCTACTCTCTGAARGGACCTTGATGAGCTGCAGTTCCCTTTTAGTGTCACTAGGTGGTGCTGTTGCTGCTGGAAACAAAGAACAAGGAATGGAGCTGGTATGAACATTTATGGATTAATTTCATGCTCTTTAACTTTTTTTAAACTTCTTCTTGTTTACTACTCCTGTGTTTTTATTTTTACATCAAATTTGCATAATTTTGAAGAGAAAGCTATCAGCATTGGTTTGTACAAAACAGTAAGAAATTATACTTGCTTGATGTGTTTAATTCATTTGAATAGCATCTCTTTGTGATGCGATCAAATAAATCAAGACATCAGAGGATTGCTCACTAAAAGATTTTCAATTCAACAGCTAAGTTATTAAAAAAATTATGATTAAAAGCCGAAATTTGATTTGTTTTCTTTATTTAATTGGTTTGCACACACGACTTATTTTAAAATTACCTCCAGAGGTTGGGGCTGATAAAGAATAACTGAAGCAGTAAATTAGTATATATGTGTATGTTGTAAACTTTAAGAAATTAACAAATAATAGATTTTTGTTGTTTCAAATTAAATGGTAATGTCGCCCATGCTCTGCAGCTGATCTGGCCTCTGCTGAGGTGTGTGGGAAACCTCCTGTCTTCCTGCCCCRTGGAAGGTCTCAGCTCTCAAGTGGGCGATGTTCGTCTTGTAGTCGCCTTGTGTGAACTTGTTCATGCCTACCTGCACAGCCACGTGGCCTTGGCCAGAGAGACCGCCTGGGTCCTCAACAACCTCACAGGTCTAAGTCWTATTGATTGAAATCACTTCTGGACTAACTTCAAGGTTCACATTGAAAGACTTGTGCTGGATCTAAATGGAGGGGGGAAAGGGATTTAATCATTAGGATGAACTGAAACACAGAGTTGTCTCTCTTATCTTTGACACAACAATTTTACTTTATTGTTTGAAGTCTGTTTTTAGCCAAGAGTGTCAAATATAACCAAAGTTTGTACCAGTAAAAATGATCGTTTTGTTCACTTGGTGCTAGTTTTTGCAAACTTTTTGGTCATTTTGAAGGATTAACCACAACATGCACAGTTGGTCTGGATGGTGTATTTTTATTTCCTTACTTTACAACCAAGACATTACAGTAATTTGTGTTACTATAAATTTAGTCATTATTTTCATGCAAGGGTTAATCCGTTTAAATAAGCTAACGCATGCTAAACCTCTGAGAGTCAGGATTAAATATCTGCATGTTTAAACAAACCAAACCTTTAAATTAATTTTAAAAATACTTTCATTTAGGCAGAGCAGGACTGCAAGTTTAAATTAGTGAGAAATAGTTCAGCTGTCATCATTGTGCAGGCTCCCAATCACTTAAGTGTTAACTTACAGGATTACTTGGATTAGTTAAAAATTAGATTGATAAGATGATTAAAGTCTTAATAACTTGATGTTATGTAAAGTAATGCATCCTGCTGTTTCCCACCACTGTTGCAGCCCACTCCACGGATTTCTGCTCTGCTCTCCTAACTTTCAATTTGGTTCCAAGACTGATTCAGCTTCTGCCTTTTTCTCAAGGCATCAACACAAAGGTCGGTTCAATCTAAAGCCAAATGCTGCTATTTTGTTGTATTTATCACTGTCATTGTTACAAAATGTAATAAATGCTATGTCCGATTAATATTCAAAAACTTTTATTTCCGTCTTTACAATGTTCTACGTAATTTTCTTGAAGGTCTTAAGGATTTTAGCAAACATTGCACACAAAAGTAAGGAGTTCTGCATCCAGTTAGCGGAGCTCGGGTTGCTATCTGCTCTCTGCGCCACACTGAAAATGGCTGACAACGACTTGGTGACCCTGAGTCTGGACGTYCTGTTCATGATGGTCATCAGTTGTCCTCAGGTGTGCAAGCTCGCAGATAAAAATTATAATTTGCTGTAACAATAATCACCAGTGTTGAAAAAACAAAGGTATCTTTTTTTTTTCTCTCAGATAGCGGAGCAGTTTGTGAGACAAGATGGTGTTTTACTTTTAGAAGCCATCCAGTACAACAGGGAAGGAGAGATGAGGAGGAGGGCTGCATACCTCCTGGAGCGCCACTTCCAACAAGATGTAATAATAACTTTTATTTGTGCCAACTTTATGAAATATGTTGCATTTCTGGACTAAAAACACTCGTGATGTTTTGTGTTGCAGATGAAAATTTGACTGATCCTTGACCCGATAAGATGTCTTCTAGAATAAAACACAAAGACACTTTTAAAGAGACTGAACAACTTGTGTACATTTGTTCACTTTTTAAAATAAACATGATGGTGACCAACACCCTGTGTCTTCTACAATRTSTTTTTAGATCTGTAAAAATCACGTCATGTTTAAATGATGCWCTATTCTGGCATTTGAAACTGGAACACCAACAGGATGTGTATACAGTACATCTACATGGCTATACAGTATTAYGAGTATTTGAAATTAATCCAGATATACCAATGAGTTTTCTGTGATGTATTTTAGAAAAAGTTTGTATTTATTTTAGGGCTGTGAAATTAAATGAGTTAACTGATTAATTTTGGTGCTGCATGGGCATAGATTAAAAATTTTAATCGCGATTAAAATTTACAATCTCTTTACCATGGCTGAATATGTAGGTTTGTATATTGCAATGCACTCAGCGCATGCCAGGTCATGTTTGTAAATGAGAAGTAGTTCTCAAACAGTTTACCTGGATAAATAAAGGTTAAAATAAAATAAAAATTAAATAAACTCCATGTGTAACACATACAGTTTATTTTCTTTTTGTCTTCTTATGGCTTACTTTATTTTATTTATGTTTTGCTGACAACTGTGACATAGTATCTATCTTTTGTTCCTCATGTAGTACTATAGTAGTAGTATGTTGTAGTAATAACTCAAGTAATTTATTTTACCAATATGCAATAAAGTTTTAAATTTAAGATTAATCGTGATTAATTCACAGCTATCTTGGAATTAATAGATAAAAAAATTAATCATATGACAGCCCTAATTTATTTCAATAAAACACTTCAATAAATTCTATTTAAAATTGTGCTTGTGTGAGAGGTGTTAGAGTGGAGCATACTTACACTTTTTTATTTTTGGTATTTTGTAGAATATTATAAATTATGTGCAACCCTGACAGAAAAGCAGCTGAAGAAACTCCACGCTTTTGCATAAATAGTCTTTTGGCAGAGCAGAGGTTTAAACGATGTTTCCTCCTGCAGTCCAAAAATATACATGTTCATTGGTGAGTAGAGGGTGTGAGTGTGAATAAATGGTTGCAAGGTTGCCAGATAGGAAATGACTATCGTACTGTTGCCTTCAAATGATTGTGTTTTGTAACTATTATATATGCTATTATATATTTCATTTTGGCCTAATGACTCAGAAATGATTGTATAAATACAGCGGGTAAAATAAATATTGAACACGTCAACATTTTTCTCAGTAAATATATTACTAGAGGTGCTAATGACATGAAATTTTCACCAGATGTCAGTAACAAATGTCCAGAAATGAAGTTATTTGTAATAATGTGGAATGGCACAGGGAAAAAGTATTGAACACATGAAGAA